GGGGGGGGGGGGGGGGGGGGGGGGGGGCTCCACTTACCAGTGACGCTGTGCGTATGGTAGCAAAGTGCTCTCGGTTGCGATAGTGGGACCTGTGGCGAGACACTTGGGGTGGAGACTGCGGTTCCGACGTTCTTGACCGGGCGTCCGAATCGTCTCTGAAGTTTTCTTCCTCCTTGCGGGACAGAAAGGGCGTGAGGAGACCCGGCACGGGGGCTCCACGGATGGCGCGTGGCGAGAGGCTGAGCGGCCGGCCGAACTGAACAGGCAGGCTTTCGCGGGAGGGGAAGGCGCGCCCCAGCAGCTGGGGACCTGGCGCTTCGTTCACGGCCACGAGGTGACGCTCCCACACGCACCGGGTGCAAGGGGAGGAAAGCGAGGGGCCGAAACGTGCGGCGGGGAACGGCCCGGAGCCTGGCTCCCTGTGCAGCAGCTTGGCACCACCTGGAGTGGAGCTCTCCGGGCGTGTCGGACTGCGACGTTCGGGATCCCGGGCTAGGAAGGCCCACAGCTGGGGCGGCTGCCCAAGTCCAGGCGGAGGCGCCCCTTCCCCTGAGCGCCCCCGCTGAGCGGGCAGCGCGCCCCTCCCTCCCTGCCGGGCGTCCCCTCCTCTGTCAGACCTCGGCTCCCAAGCTCTCCCGTGGCACGCAGATGGGGAGCCCCGGGCGAGGAGTGCTCCGGGCGGGCAGTCGGCAGCCACCGCTTGCTGCCGACACAGCTGGGTCGCCAGGCCGCGCGCGCGGGGCTCCTCGGGCGCCCCCTGCACTCACTGGCTTCAGGTGGATGACGGAGCTGTTGGACATCACCGTGTGGTCGCCCTCCAGCATGTCCAGCTCGCTCTTGTCGTCCGAGGCGTCTGGAAGACTGTTCACGCTGCTGCTTTGGCTACTGGCGCTGATGGACATGCTGGGGATGGACTGGTTGCTCCCAACACTGTTCACAGTCCCGGTGCGGCCCACGCCGTGCTCTTGCTCCTGCGGGGAGAGCGGGCAGCCTGAGCATCGGCCGCTGCGCGCGGAAGCCACCTCCCGCGTGGCAGCGAGGCCTCCTTCCTGCGCACGGGGAAAGGGCCACGAGTTGCCCGGGAAGGCCCACGCAGGCGCGGGAGGAGGACCCTCGCTGGCCTTCCAGCCTGGCCCTGCCCGTCCCCGGGAGCAGGCCAGGGCCAAGGAACCCCCGGCCGAGGGCTAGTGGGGCGGGAGCACACGACGCCCCACGGCAGCCCTGGGGACCGCGGGGGGCTCGGGGGGCCGGGGCGGGCGGCAGCCACGCCCCCCTGCCTCCCTGCGCCAGGCCGCCCCCGCCCTCGGCCGGTACCTCCTCCTCCTCCTGGGCCTCGGCCGCCGGCCCGTTGTGCGCCTCCTGGAACAGGAGCTTCTTCATCTTGCGGTACTGAAGGTTGTCCAGTTCCCGGACGGCGTCCTTGGTCCGCTGGATGAGGTCTATCAACACTGTCTCTGGGCGCTCCCGGAGGACAAAGACGTGCTGGGGAAGGGCAGACGAGCAGGGAGCTCAGCGTCCCAGGACCCCGGGCCCTCGCCCCCAGAGCGCAAGGGGCCCAGGGTGAGCTCCCCGCTTCCCTCTGGCGGCTCGGCTAGGAAGCTGGCCCGGCCGCGCCGGCCTCGGGCCACGCTTCCACCTGCCCTACGTCGAGGAGAGCCTCTGCAGGCAGGCTGACTCCATTCAGGCCAGCCTTCCCCACCCTGGTGCCCTCCAGGTTTGCTGGCCACCTCTCCTCGGACCTCCCGACCAGCTGGACGGCCCAGGCATCTGGAGGGTGCCAGCTGGGCTGGGCTCTGCCTGAGGACGGTGCCAGGCTGGACACTGCCACGCAGGGGGGACGAAAGCCAGGACGCGGGCCACCAGAGCCACCGAGCGGCTAACCGTGGCCGCGCGGTGCCTGCTTGGCACGCAGCTCCGTCAAGGATCAGCCAGTCCTGGCCCTCTGAGGAGCAGGGCCCGGGCAGTGCGAGGCCGGAGGATCTTTCCTGGGTGTGGGAGGGCCCAGGGCCTGCCTTGGGATGAGGCCGCTGCAGGGCGGCGCTTCGTTTTCCAAGGGAGAAGGGGGCTGGGCTGCCAGGAACGGCCGCCGTGGGGGCCCTTGCCCCCCGCCCTGGTGCTTGCCGGACGCGCAGCACGGTGGGCACGGAGAGGACGCGAGGGGGCGAGGAGGGGCGTGGAGCCATGGCCGCAGCCAGGAGCCTGCAGGCAAATCCCCTTTGGAGGGACGGAAGGCAGGAGGAAGAGGCAAGCCGCCCTCCGACTAACCCCGGGCGCCTGCCTGTGGGCCGGGCGGCTGCGCGCGTGCAAACCTGCGTGCAAACGAGCGCCCGCCCTCTGCCGCGGAGGGGTGTTCTCTTCGCTCCCACGCATAATTCCACGGCAGCAAGAAGCCGGGCTGCGAGAGGAGGCGGCTGGCCTGCGGGGGCCTGGGGGCAGCCGGGAGAGCGGAAGGGCCGCAGGAACCAGCAGGCCCGTCAGCCTGCGGCCAGGAGGGTGGGAAGCTGCCCAGGGGGTGGCGGGGGTGCGGCCCATCCTGCTGGCGAGGCACCGGGTCGAGGGAGGCTGGCTTACAGAGCTTCTAACGGGAGGACCGAGAACGAGGGAAGTCCAGCTGACCTTTAGGAGCTCCTCCGACGTTGGCCTGTCCTGGGGGATTTTCTGGAGACAAGAATCTACAAAGTTTCGGAAATAATCAGACCTAGACAGGTGGGAGGGGATGAAAAACGCAGTTTAGGAGACCGCCCGGCCCGTGCTTTGAGTCCTCGCTTCAAGGGCCCGGGAGGCAGCAGTCGGACCCCCCACCCACCCCGGCTCATGGACTCACCATTCGCTGGACTGGAGTGCAGGGGATTCATTCTGCGCTATGTGATATAAGGCACTCATTGCGTTCATATTAAACAAGGGGGGCTTCCTTTCCGCTGCAAAGGGAAAGAGGTGCTGAGTGGAGCAGCGCAACCCATGGCTCCCTGGATCTAGCGCTCGCCGGCCCCTGGTCACGGGGCCTGGACAGGGTCGCTGGAGGCCTGCCACGCGCAGCCCGGCAGGGGAGGCCGGGAGGCCGGCACATCCAGCCGCCTTCTTGCCAGGAGGCGGCTACGCCAGCTGCTCCGCAAAGATCTTTGCCGCACCACAGAAAAAGGTTGGAATGGGCAGAAAGGATGATCTGCACAGAAAAACCAACTCAAGGAAGGCTTTTTCAAAATCACCCTCTTTTCAATGGAAATTTCACCCTCCATTAGGGTTAGGGGTGTGCACCAGGGTAGGGTTAGAGTTGGAAAAACGAGGTGTCCTGGAGTGATTCTGATGGTTGCAATGTGTTTAGAATGGGCAGAAAGGATGAGCTGCGCAGAAAAATCTACTCAAGGAGGGCTTTTTCAAAATCACCCACTTTTCAATGGAAATTTCACCCTCCATTAGGGTTAGGG